AGGAGCTTAAGAAGAAGGCAAGGAAGTTCCCCAGAATTACGGAAGAAGCACAGTGTGCTATCTGCCTCGGAAGCCTCGCAGTTGACAAGTCGTGGAGGAGGAAGCGCAAAGCTCACCTGGGCCACCATCGACAAAGAGGTGGAGGAAGGGAGTTTGGACCAGGTGGAACAGTACCAAATGCGCCAACAACGGCGGAAAAGAAAGGAGCGAGATGCAACCTCCTCAGGGACCTCGGGGGTAAAAAGGATCGTTACAGATACGCTCGCGGAGTTGGGGTAGGGAAAAGACGCCATGGTACAAAAGAAAGTAGTGACAACAATCCAAAGAAAGAGGTAAGGAACCGGGGGTAAAGGAGGTTGTCCAGAAGGAATGGGAAGAAGAGGAGTCGGTGCCCCAATGCCTTTCAAAGGCGCTACGCAAACAACGCAATTTAACCCAGGGAGGGCAAGGATCTGGAAAGGGGCAAGCGCCCCAAGCAGTGGTAGTAGCGTCGCCGAGTACGATAACTCCATCAAGTAGCGCGGGACCCACACAAGCGGCGGTACCGCCATATAGACAGTGGCCATGAAGAACAGAGACGATGATGTTCAACAAACACGACGGGACTCTGATCCTGATCCTGTGTGACCCGGCGTGTGCAAACTATGAAATAGTTACTTGCCGAAACACAAGCTCAAGAAGCATAAGGAACCGGCCCAATCCTGGTTCATTCACGATTGAAGAGTCCGAAGACGAACGTCAGAGGCTTCGTGAGGAACCAGAAGAGGAGGCACATGAGGAGGTGTTTTCCCTCATCCTGTCCGATGTAAACAAGCCCATGGATGTAGTGGCCACACATGAGATGGCGGATCCAAACGCCATTCAGACATTGAGGGAGTAGGTCCTGGAATATCCCAGGCCGGGGAGGTAGAACTGGTCTATCGGCTTCCGGGCGGAAGAAGGGACCCTGTAATGATATAGGCGTAAGCGCTAAGCCGGCCTTTTTTAGGGGACGGTTCAAGCAGGGTTCCCAAAGGCGGTATAAAACGATAGACAAAAAGCGTCGCCCAGTTCCCGTTCTCGTCACAGAAGATGAGGAAGTTTGTTACGAACAGGAACGAGGGTTGATACGACGAATGAGGGAGCAGACAGCGGTTGGGCCATGCCGTATCAATGAAGGGAACGAAGGGAAGTTAATAGTGGGAGAGTCTGAGTTCCTGCTACCCCAGGAGAGGGTGTTGATGATAGAGCTGATTAAGAAGAGGCATTGCGCCTACGCTTTTGATGACGATCAACGCGGGAGATTGGACGTGGATAAGATTCCTATGATCCGGATCCATACCGTGCTGCATAAGCCATGAAATTTGAGAGGGGCGTCGTATCCTAATCCTGACGAGGAAAAGAAGGTGGTGGACTATCTCGACGCCAAGATACGTACGCATGTCATCGATTACTCGAGCGGGCCGTACGCGTCCCCATGATTTTGCTTTGTCAAACCTAATGGGACGTTGCGGTGGGTGCAAGACTTCAAGCGGTTGAACGCTGTGACGGTACGAGATGCGGGGAGCTTGCCAAATGCAGACGCGTTGTTCGAGTCATATGCTGGGATACCGATAATTTCGCTTATAGAACTCTACTCCGCATATGACCAATTTTCGGTCTATCCACCAGACAGGCCAATGACGGCGATGCATACACCCCGACGGATGATCCACATGAATGTGGTTCCACAAGGGTGGACTAATGCAGTGACGATGATTCAGCGACATATGATTCAAGCCATGCAGACAGTTAGCCCGCATATCACTCAGCCGTATATTAACGACTTGGCGGTAAAAGGGCCGAGAGAGAAGGACAGTGACGAAATCTTGCCGCGAGTAACGCGTTTTGTCTGGAAGCATGTTCAAGACCTTAATAAAGTCGTGGGTTTGCTTGAACAACACAACCTTACAGTAAGCGGTGCCAAATCCAGACATTGCATGAGGGAGGCTACCATCCTAGGGTTTGTCTGTAATGAAAGTGGTTGTCGGCCAGATGTAAAGAAGACGGACAAAATTGTTGAATGGCGAGTACCATTCCACTCAATAACGGTGTCGAGCGCATCGGTCCGGCACCGCACGCAGCGTGGGACCCTTCCGGCCGCTTCACGCAGAAGTTGGTCTAAATCCTCGTCGCGAAAATACATGGAGCTTCCACAAGCCGCTCTGACCGAGTGCGCCAGCCATACCACCCGCGAGCCCCTACGACAGGATAGGGCCTACGCGAGGCACGACTTACCTCCACCTTACGGGAGGTGTCACCTCATTTAGGTGGGCTTATCCCCGCTGAGCTACCAGTCCACTATATGAAAGCTGATCAGTTGCAATCGCAGAGGTGGACTAGCCGAGGGCGTTTCTCGTTCGCTACTTAAAGTTAGTCAAGTTTCAGAGATGTCAGCTAGAATAGAATATAGTTTAGTCTTTGGGTTCAGTATGAATTCTGAAAGTCTTCCTTTCTAAAGGAAGTGCTGCCGAAATTTCTACTAAAACCAAAGAGTTAGTTATTTTTCAGATATCTTCTGAGTCTCGAGTTTTTTTTTTAAGATTTAGTATAGTAAATATTATGTGAGCACACTTCCATAAAGGAAGTACTGTCAAAATTTTCAAGATTTTCACATCGTTACTGGACGCTACTACTAAGTAGCTTAAGTGTAAATACGAAGTTGAACTCCGTTAACTCGATAGACGATGTCTGTCTTGATCTCTGTGACGCAGGTCATTGCTACCTGCGAGTGTTCTTCGAAGTCTTCAGATTTATCAACTTCTGCTATCAGATTGATTGCTGCTATCAGATTGATAGCAGGTCGATTTGCGACTCAACTTCTACCCACTGTGATACCCACGCCCAGATGTCTGTGACCCTGTAGGCGAAAGACATTTCCGTATGAAAGAAAACCTATCCTTGGAACCTCTCTTGAATGATCATGCAAAAGTTATGAAAATGGATTGGTCGGGCATACCTTTGTAGAATGGGGGTCGAAAAGGGGCGCGTGGGACATGAACCTGGGAGCAAAAGGGTTGACCACGTTTTGCGGCATTTGGATGCGAATGTTCATTGGGTTTCATATGTGTGCAGGCATGTATGGGAGCGAGGATTCGCTGCTGGATTGAGAGTGATATGGATGAATGAGTGCAGGGTGTGAGTGACAAGGTTCAACTATGGCTGTGAGAATGACTCTCCCTGATTTCCCCTGAGACTCACCCTTTTCTTTATTTCTTTTTTTTATTTATCTCCCGTCGCACGCATCTAGTGAACAGGCAGGAGTAGCCAACGTAAGGTTTAACGCTCGACGTTTGATTGAACCGAGACTTAGTTTGGGTATGACGAATTGCTCTCCAACCCGTGACTACTCTTATTTTTCTTCCCTTAGGGGAGGGACGAGCAAATCCCATCTCAAAGGGGTTTGGCTTTTTAAACTATTAGTCGGACGTTGGTCCTGAGCCTGGAATTCGAGGTCCTTGTCCAGGACATCCCTGGCTCTGGTCCAGCACAAAAGGGTTTTCCCCTTGAGCTGGGCCTGCGCCTCTTGCTTATGGTCACACTCTCGACTTATCCTTCACCTGTGTAATATTGTGAAGGAAAAATCATTCACGATATCTTGCTTTCGACACTTGAGTGTCGTACGCAACCCCGAAACCCATGAGAGGGTGCGCGAATGTGGGTAACGCATGAAGCGTCGTCATGATTGCAGATAAATTGAGTACACATGACTGAGCATTATGATTCCCTTGACGGTTGCATTCTTTTTATGCAACTTTGTGTGGGTCTCGCGCAAACACAAAGACTTTTTTGAGTTATGGGTCAGGATGTATGAAAAAAGGACTAGGCTTACTTGTTTGTCTGAGTTAGTTTGCTTTGTAGCATATCGCGTGGTTGAGTAAGGATGTCCTAGTCGACCGTCGCTAAACCGCACGTGGGAGATCAGCGCCCTAGCATGACGGTTCGCGTACGGGTCTAAGCTAAGCGTGAACCGCGCATACCCCCTATGCTACATCATACGAGAAACACCCTCGGCTGGGCCACCTCCGCGACTGCAAGTAAAAGCTTTCGCGTGTGGTCCAGTAGCTCGGCGAGGATACGCCCACCCAAGGGATGGTGACAGGTCGCGCGGGTGGAGGTAAGTTGTACCTCGCGAGACCCTGTCCTGTCGTAGGGGCTCGATGGAGGTATAGTTCGCGCACTCGGTCGGAGCAGCTCTGCCGCTTCCTTTTTCGTGAAGCGACATGCGAATTCTACCAATCCTGCGTGGAGCGGCCGGGAAAGGTTCCCCCAGCGGGGACCGTGCGCTCGACAGGTGGCGCCGTTACTGGGGATCTCGGCTGCCTACCGAGGTCCATAGTGAACGGACTTGGGTTTAGTGCAAAACGATAATCCAGGCAAAACGATACTTTTTGTTATTAGAGAGTGATACAGTATGTTTTTGATTTTGATGTTGCCAAAGCAACCTAAGGAAATGTCCATGTGGATCTCGTCAAGCCCAAGGAAGGGCCTCGCTATTTTGTTAGGACGCTAAGTGTCAGATCTTGGCGTGACGTGGGCGAATTTGTAGTATGGTTGTATGGTGGTGTGACTGCCTGTGAATAAGTGTTGAAATTAAGTAGCAGGACACAACCTCTCAAGGTTGAGGTTGGACTGACTACAAGGGAAGGTTGAAGTTGTTAGAGTAAATTAGGTTGATCCTGTAAGAGTGTTGTATATTGACAGGGAATTGATTGTCGGAAAGCAAAATGGCAGACGATGAGCTTAATGAGGCCAATGGCGCGGGTCAGCGGCCGGTTACGTTGGGACAACTGGTTGCTCTACTGGATGGGCGAACGGTGACGCGATCCAACATCCCGAAGGTTCATATCTTCCATTTCAAAGGAGAGAAGGTGTCAGAGTGACTTGAGTTGCTCGAGCAAGTTACTGGCGAAACGACGGAAGAAGAGAAATTTCGTCAAATCTCTAAGAACGTGTGGTGGGAGATGTGGCCGGAAGTTATGCGGGTAGCAACTGAGGCTGTAAGGCAGAAATGCAGAGGCAGTATCAGTTGGGGGTTGGCCTCCTTACGATGGAGGACTTGGAAAGGTTAGAGAGGTTGGATTTCACGACGGTGGGTGCCTTCGCGACGACATTCGAGAAGATGGCGAGGAAGGTTCCAGGGTTGGCTGAGGAGTCTCAATGTGCCATCTTCCTAAGCAACTTCACGGAATGCGAGAACATTTCCCTGACAAGAAGAGGAGCCATAGGGCGGAAGTTGACTTGGGAGACGGTGAAGCAAAGCTTGGCAGATGGGGAGTTGGACCAGGTGTACCAGTTCCAGATGAAACATCAACGACAAAAACGAAAGGCCCAAGTTGTTACTGAAGGAGCAGGTATCAACCTTCAACAACTCATTGCGGACGGAATAGCCAAATACCAAGCTGACCAGCAGAAAGCGACAGGGAAACAAGTTTTGACAGTGACCCAGCCACAGGCTAGAGCCGCAAAGAAAGGGAAGGTGGTAGAACAATTGGAAGATGATGATGATGATGATGAAGAGGAGGAACCGGCAAAGCTGACGAAAAGTCATAGAAAGGCGAGGAACCAGGCCTTAGGTGGTCAAGGTTCGGGGAAGAATACAGGAGTATAAGTCGTCGCGCCAGCCCAAGTAAATGCCAATCAAGCAAGTACGAGTGGGGCGCCGCCACAGGGACCAGCGCCGGTTGGATCTTGGCCAGGGGTCATTCCTCCTGTTTGGCCGGGGTATATTCCATATGGCCCATGGTTGTTTTACAACCAAACCGGGCCGCCTGTGGGAGGGCCGACTGCGCATGCTGCAGGAGGATACCCCAGTGCGCCAGCTCAAGGAGTGAACTGGCAAGGAGGGGGCCAACAACAGCAGCAAACACCCCCGCCTCAAGTCAACCAACCCGGTCAAGCAGCGGGTCAAGGACAAGGTCAGAACCAGGGAGGTAACGGGCAGAGCAGTCAGGGACGAGGCAATGGAGACCGCGGACGGGGTAACGGTAATGGTGGACTAGGCGGTCAAGGGGGCAGACGTGGAGGCAATTGGAATGGGCAAGGCGGGAATGATAGGCCAAGGTTCGATTGGAGAAATGCCATTTGCCATCATTGCGCACTAAAAGGGCAAATCTTCAGGTTTTGCCTAATTCGGAAAGTAGACGAGAAAAATGACCCTATCTCGACAAACATGGACGGGGATGTCTATGATATGTATGAGAAAAACATTGACCCTAAGATTGCTGGTGGTATGCGAAAGGAGGCACAACGTCGTGCCGAATTAGGTCCGCCACCACCGGCCATGTTTCGACTCTGGCAAGAGGAAGATGTTAGGTCAACGATAAAGGTGGACGAACTGACCAATGGTGAGTCGGAAGAGGACATCAGGAGGCAAGAGTCAGTTGTGATAGAAGAGGAGGAAGAAGAATCATATTGTCAGGGAAGGGCCACGGATACCATGGAGCGAATGGAAGACCTCGTGGAGAAGATGCAGAGGTTGAATTTGGAAATGAGGTCCTTTTGCGAAGGGGTGGCGAAGCCGATGGTTTACTTACTAGGCTCAGAGACGGGGTCATCAAGTGTCAAACCGGCTTGTCAGACCGTGGGATCAATCCCCGCGATCTGGCATTACATTCCGACCTCCTCGAGGGCAACCCACATTCCCGCAAGCAGTATGCACGAGGAGTAAGAAGGGAGATACCAGTAGCAGTGAAGAACCTCCGAGCGAAAGTCAGCCACGAGAGAAGGAGCCAGTTATCGACGTGGGGGACGAAGGCAAGGAGGATGAGGAAGATGAGCAGCTAAGAAAAGAAGAGGAAGAGCAAACTGCTCAACGTGCAAAGAAGAGGAAGCCGGAAGATAGGTCAGAAAGAGCGGCAAAAAGAGAAGGCTCGCGAAAGCAAAAGTATGCGGTACCATTAGAAGATGATCTGGATATTGAAGCCTTGATTGATAGGCTTCTGGAAGGGCATAACGACCTGCTTAATCTGAAGGATATCCTTGCCTCCGCGCCAAAACTTAGGGAAGGATTCAAGACGCGACTCTCTTATCGAAGGGTGGCGAGTGTACGACTGGGAGATCTCATTCGCGCGGAAGCTCACTGGGCGGTTCCTGGGACGAAGATGGATGGAAATCGGTCGGGACTGGGAGTGTGAACCTGAGTATAAAGGGAAAGCCATGTAGTGGGATGTTGGACACAGGAGCGGAAATGAACATCGGCAAGGAGTCTGACGCACTCCGCTTGGGAATGGATATCGATCGAATGGACTCAGGCTTCCTTTATGGCGCTAGCGGGAAGACTCCCTTTACAGGGACAGCCTCAAATGTCGTAATTGAAATTAGGAAAGTGAAGGTTCGATCATGCTTCTTCGTTATGCCTGATTTAGACCATCCTCTTCTGCTGGGAAGGTCATTTCTCTGCCGCACTTAATCAATGATACTTAACAAGCATGACGGTACAATGTACGTCATCTTAAGCGATCCAGTTTGCGGCAACTACGAGATCATTGCTTATCATAATACAGGGCCTCGTAGCATGAGGAACAGGCCAAACCGAGGCTCCTTTACTTTGGAGGAATCGGAAGGGGAGAGGAGAAGATTAATGGGTGAGGACGAAGAGGAGTGTGAGCCTACTAGCGAGATGTGTTTAAGTCTAACAAGTATGAACGATGCCATGGAAATAGTGTCAGCATATGGGATGGCGGATCCAATTGTCGTACAGACTTTGAGAGAGAGAATAGTGGAAGATTCTGGCGATGGAGAAGTGGAGCTTATATATCGGTTGCCGGCAAGGGCAGGTGAGCCAGGGGTACCTCAGAGTCGTGCTGCAAGTCAGCCTTTTTTAGGGGTGGGCTCAAGCAGGGCTCCAAAAGGAGGTACAAGCGTGTGACTGAGAAAAGCCACCCCGTTCCTTTGCCCAAAACTGCGAAAGAAGAGTTCTACTACAAACAGGAACGCGAGCTGATACGGGAAATGAAGGAGGATGCAAAACATGGGCCGTGCCGTATCAATGAGAGGACCGAGGGAGACCTGATAATAGGAGAGTCAGGATTCCTCACGCCACAAGAGAAGGCCCTTATGGCAAAGGTAATGAAGGAGCGGCATCACGCATATGTGTTTCACGATGATGAGCGTGGGCGACTCGATGTGGATAAAGTTCCAATGATTCGGATCCACACCGTGCCTCATGTGCCATGAAACTTGAGAGGGCCACGCTATCCCAATCCAGCAGAGAAACGGAGATTAGTCGACTACCTGGATGAAAAGATTCATTCTCATGTAGCCGACTATTCAAGTGGGCCTTACGCGTCCCCATGGTTCTGCTTTGTCAAGCCAAACGGTACCCTGAGGTTGGTACAGGACCTTCATCACCTGAATGCAGTAACGATACGAGATGCGGGAGGTTTGCCGAACGCAGATGCGTTGTCAGAATCTTGTATCGGCAGGCCTATCATTTCCTTGATAGACCTATACTCGGGGTACGATCAGTTCCCGGTGTATCCACTGATAGGCCTATGACTGCGATGCATACACCAAGAGGACTAATCCATATGAACGTGGCGCCACAAGGGTGGACGAATGTGTGTGGCGATGGTGCAGAGGCATATGGTTCACGTTATGCAGACAGTTAGTCCACATCTTACGCAACCATAAATTGACGATTTGGCCGTAAAAGGGCGGAAGAAGAAGGATGAGACGGAGGTTATGCCTGGGGTAAGGAAATCCGTCTGGGATCATATACAAGACATCGCTTGGATTCTTGATATTCTAAAGGATTACAACCTTACCGCAAGCGGACTGAAGTCGAGACAATGTATGCGGGAGGCGACCATATTAGGCTTTGTATGTAACAAGAACGGTCGTCGCCTTGACATCAAGAAGCCTAACAAGATACTTGAATGGCCGGTGCCATTCGAATCTGTTAGTGAAATTCGTAGCTTCCTGTGGACATGTGGCTTTTGACGAGTTTTCGTCAAGAACTTCGTTGAGAAGACAGAGCAGCTGAGGAAGCTTGAGAGGAAGAATCAAGAATGGGAATAAGACGAGAAGCAGGAAGGAGTGGTAAGTGATTTGAAAAGGGAGTTCAGAGAAGGTGGTCTGGTGTTGGGAGTTCCTGACTTCGAAGCAACCCCAAAACGTCCTTTCATCGTGGAGACCGATGCAGGGCCTACAGTCTTGGGCGACATTCTGATCCAAGCTGATGTAAATGGCGAGGAGAGGCCATTGAGGTTTGAGAGTCGAACCTTGAATGACACAGAGAGAAACTACTCACAATTCAAGCGGGAGACACTTGCAGTTCTCCACTGCCTAAGGGTGTTCCTCGACTACCTTTCGGAAGGAGGTTTTTGCTGAGAGTGGATCCAACAGCATTGGCCGGCTCATTGAAGAACTATGCACCGTCAGACCCAACTCGAGGTGACTCACGTATGTGTGGATGTTTGACTTTGAGTTGGAACGCATACCTGGGAATAAGAATCGGGCTGACGGGCTTAGTCGGATCAATTGGGATAAGTTCGACGATGGAGTTAATGAGGATGTACCTCCGGTGGACGCATTCCTCGATGAGGAGGAGGACGTAAAATTTCATATCAATGCGCATGCCATTGGGGTCAGTGGAGTCATTGTGCAAGGGAAGTCTGCTTTTCTTGCTCTTGCAGAGATATGGAAGAGGACGAGTTCGAGGAAGGAGAGATAACGGAAGCGTTTCGCGCATAGAGTACGAAGGCATATACCACGAATTGGGCTTGCTCCTCTCATGTGAGATTAGAGAGAGAAAAGCAACTAAGAAGGTACACGAGATGCGACCTCATTTCTTAGTCCGAGATGAACACATTTTTATCAAGAATGAGGTTGGCAACCCGAGGAGAGTAATTTGCGGCCGAAATCGTCAGATAGACGTTATAGCCGCACTTCATGATGGGCCTGCAAGCAGTCATAGAGCGTTCACCTTGACGTATGCAAAGGCGCGAGAACTTTATTATTGGGAAGGAATGAGTGAGATGATTCGTAAGTATTGCGAGTCATGTGTTCCATGTCAAACCATGGGGTCGACTATGTACAAGGAGCCATTGCACCCATTGTACGTGATGCAGGGGTTGTGGTCCATTTGGACCTATTGGCAATGCCTCAGGGAGTGGGCAGCTGCAACTACATCTTCGACGCACGAGATAATATTACGGGGTTTGTCGATGGGCGAGCCATTCGCAGAAAGACGGGCGAGACATTGGTTTCGTGCATCTCCGAATATTTCCTCATATATTTTTTCGTAGTGGAATTCGTGATGGACAGGGGGTCTGAGTTTACCTGTGGAGAAGTGTGAACCTTGTTGCAAGAGTATGGCGTACAAGCCAGCTATACGACTAGGGCACACCCACAGGCGAACGCCCCAGTTGAAAGAGGACATACCACCATCACGAATCTAATGGCAAAATGGATAAATGGCAGGGAGAACCAGTGACCTAAGCACCTGCGTGCGGCTTTCTTCGTGGAGAATATCACGATTAAGAAATCCACGAAGTACGCACCAACAACGTTATGGTATGGACGGCATGCCACGCTCCCTATAGAAAACTTTCTAAAGACGTGGAGGAGGCAGGATATGAAGAGCACCTTGTCCTTCGAGGAATTGCTGGATTTGCGGGCCAGACAAGTTGGTATCGTGGAAGAGAGGATCCAAGAAGCTACAAATCGGGTAACTGACAGTCGGCTAGAGGACAAGAAGAGGTGGGATCTCCTCCCACGAGTCAGGAAGGAACCACAAGAAGTCGGAGATATGGTACTATTCTACGATTCATCGCTAAAAAAGCAATGATCGCGCAAGTTGGACAAGCGGTGGTTAGACCCGTATCGCATTAGACGATGTGGGCAACATGGAGCATATGAAAATTGAGGAGCTTAATGGCACGTCGTGGAGAGATTGGGTCTCCGGTTCGAAACTGAAAAAGTTCAAGGCGCGGGACTAAGGTGACGACAAAGCACCGCGAGTTGATATAGTAGTCATTTCCTTGTCTTATTAGGTGGTACTCTGCATTAGTGATAAGGTAGGATTGTATGTTAGTTTCTAGATAGGTCTTAGTGTGATTTTCAGTTCATCAGTCAGGTCAGTCGTCTGAGGATATAAGAGATCTGCTTGGGTCAGTCAGTATAGGCATTCCCCATCTCCTCCTGAGGATATGAGAGATTTCCTTGTGCTTACTTTTGTTTCCACCATCGTCCGTCCTTCTTATTTATGCAGGGTTGGCTTTTCGAAGTTGGTCATTATTTGGAGGGGCGGGAAGATAGCGGGACATGAGGATGAGCGACTAACCACGTCTTCGGTATTGGACTCTTTCCGATATGGGGGTGGACATGTATTTTCATTTTTGGACGGATTAGTTAGGCAGGTTTGGGTCCTTCGGTTAAATTTCGCTCAGATGAGAGAGAGGGTCAGGGGTACTGGCAGCTATGAGGAGCGTGTGGCTCACATCGTGAGAGAGTCATTGGATTGGAGGCAGTTCGCCAGGTGGATGCTGAGATTGCGGCCTCAGCCCATTGATCGACAGGGTAGGCCCATGCGGTTTGATGGGGCTAACCTGGATGAGTTCCTTGAGGTTTTCGTCATTTTTGGGGATGGGCAGAGATGGACTGAGGCACAGAGGGTTAGGTAGGTATGGCATTGGGTTGTCCCAGTTCTTAGACATGAGGTGAGTACCATGTCACACACAGCGCAGGCTTGAGCGGAGCTTATATCGACGCTTAGAGGGGCGTTCACCACTGACAGACGACGTAGGCTGCGCAGAGAGGTTGGGGATTACATCCCGAAGCTCAGGGTATGCCCGCGAGCGCAGCTAGAGAGGGATGAGGATGATGAGAGGTGATCGCCAGAGAGGCGGAGAGAGAGTGAGCAGCCAGAGATCCCACTCAGGCCTAGGACAGGCAGGCGCCGAGGGCGTCAAGATCGAGGGGATGATCCAGAGGGGAGAGATCAGGTCCTGACCATGGATATTGGGAGGACCCTCCTGACCATGGATATTGGGAGGACCCTCCCGACATGTGATGTGAAGAAGGAGGCCTTGTCAGTAGGGTCTCGGAGACAGATTGCCTTATCTACTCCAGAGATTGGGACAGTGTCAGCGCCAGAGACATGTCCGACAGAGATACGAGTTAGAGACCGTGGTGCACATAAGGCAGACAAAACCACTCAACCTAGATTTAGAGAGGATGGGGAGGAAGCTACCCCACAGCTTGTGTTGACGACTGCTTCAACCCAGCCTACAGAGATTGATACTACTGAGACAGTGGTTTTCGATACAACATCCGAGGATAGGAGGGGTAGGCCTTATCGGTGGAGAGACATATGGGACGTAGCATTAGATCTTCCACAAGGGGAGCTACCGCTTATGATAGGTCCTGCCACTATAGTAACGATGCAGGAGGACGAGGAGCCTCAGCCTGAGTGGCCGCGAGAGACGACGTCGATGCATGATGGGCTAGGCATGATGGGCAGAGGGTCCAGTCTCAGTCAGAGCCGGCAGTGGAGGATGGTGAGAGAGGTGCGATGGGACCCTCATCATTGGACGGATCGCTATTACTGAGCGAGAGTCGATTGGCCGAGCTGCCAATTGAGCCTGAGGGTTCATTGACTGCCCAGCTATATGACATGGAGTCTCCTAGGATGCAGGTACGACAGGAGGTATCCCTACCATCGACCATGGATATAGAGATAGAGCGGGTTGAGGCCGAGGTCTTGGGATTAGACAAGGGGGATCCCACAGAGGGCATACAGACCCAACGAGTAGGATCATCACCTCTGGAATTTGGGGATACTCCTCGACGAGACGGTGATAGGAATGAGGCCAGCATGAGGGGCCACGTTGAGGCAGGCCCGAAGCATACCAGGACGCATCTCCGACTCATGAGGAGGGCAGCTTGCCGAAGTCTCGGGGGTCGATAGGCCACGAGCCTGTCAGGAGGGATGCATGGCTAGCCGAGGAGATGAGACGGATGCCATCATTACATTTTCCAGGCTGGTTGGCTTTTGAGCGAATGGGCCAGGCCACGAGACCGTACTTGCCGGTTGATCAGAGCATTGGTGGGCTCAGGGTACTGTATGATGACATAACCTTGCAGAGGACCTATGTTGGTAGTGGCCTCACAGCAACTTGAGTTGAGTCGTGACAGGCAAACAGAGCATGATGCACTGAGAGAGGTGGTGCGTGATCTTCGTACGTTTGTTAAAGGAAGGGAGGCCCAGACTCTAGAGGAGGCCGAGGCAATTCTCAGGATTCAAGAGAGAGAGGCGAGTGATTGGCGAACCCAGGTTCAGAGGGTGCTCAGGGAGTATGAGCCACCTGCTGACGCGACAGATAGAGATAGGCTCGAGCGCAGGGTTGTCCTTGAGACTGTGCGATCATCTCATTTGGAGAGCCAGGTATCGACTCTTGTCAAGTTACAGCGAGAGACCGAGGAACAGGCACAAAGGCTCTTCTATGAGAATGCGGCCACAGCCGGATGACAGGATGAGGTTAGGATGAGGAGACAGACAGGAGAGGAACCTATGCTTCAGGGCGAGCGTACACAAACGGAGAAGGGGTTTCAAGCGAGATTGTCATCTGATGCCTCAATGCGAGAGTTGGCGGGAGCATGTCAGGAGACTCACGCAGACCAAGATTGCACGAGGAGAGGTGCTTTAGGATGCGGTACAGAGGATCGGTGCTCTGGAACAAGAGAATAGAGGACTGAGGGACACGGTATGTGGCCTCGTCACCCGCGCAGAGCAGGCAAGACAGTCTACCTCGAGACTCAAACAGAGGGTTACTGATTTAGAGGAGAGTCGAAGGCGTCAGGCCACGACAGATGTGGTCGGCGAGAAGAGGACTGAGGAGCAGCAGATTCCTATAAGACAGGCATACATCTCTCATGAGGTAGAGCCAGGTGGAGTGAGGTTAGACATCCCTCGACAAGATTCGCGGACAGAGGAGCCACTTGAGGCTATAGGGATGGCATGTGAGGAGGCGGCAGTCGTCGACAAGCTCATGCTTGAGCCGGATGAGATCGAGAGGAGGAGAGAGGCAGAGGCACGAGGTTTGGACTGAGTCTCTCCCTCATAGTTGGCAGTTCAAAGGGATGCATGGCAAGGATTGGGGGGCAGACATGACAAACGAGAGAGAGTTTCAGAGCTACGAGATGTCATGCCACAGGAGGACTCGAGCGGATCAGCGACAGTACTGTCGACGACTCTGCCACTTACACCAGCTCCAACTTTGGGGCCGATGGACGACATAGTGCACCTTCTTTCTTCAGAGTTTTAGAGTTGTGACGAGGAGGCGACGGCTGAGAGGACCTCGAGGATGTTGAGTCCTAATACGGTAGATAGAGTTATACAGGATGTGACAATCCGACTCGAGAGGCGCGGACTCAGGTCTTACCCAAGCCTAAGAAGGCGAAGGTAGAGGGCAACACCACAGGTGATATTTGCTCATGGTGTGACAGAGGAGTGCACGACAGAGTTGTTTGCCCCGCCTTCCAGGTTGACCTCAGGAGGCGAGTCGTGCAGTTCGATGGACAGGGGCTAGTAAGGGATATGCGTGGCGCTCATCTTCCAACAAGACGTCACAGTGTTAGGAAAGTTGTGTATGACATACTAGGTCTGGAGCTGAGGGAGGATGAGTGACAGGTTACATGTCCACGAGACGCATGAGGTGTCAGATTATGAGATCAAAGAGAAGATCAATGTGAACGAGGTGGCTATTATGGGAGATAGATTGTTGGGCTCGTTTCATATTGTTATCTTCTACTTTGAGGGCTTGGAGGCATGGACTTGTATTGCCTCATGACTTGTATATTGAGAGTCTTTGACTCCATGCTTCGGATTCGAGCCATGTACTATATGTAGTTGAGGACCAGACTTGACTCGCGTTTCAGTGGACTGTACATACATGATAGGCTACTAGTTTTAGTAGGTTGGGTTGAGTAGGGGTTTGAGAGATCGCCTTAGGCATGAGAGCCCAATTTCGTGTGAGATTGGTGTGAGTTTTGTGTGAACTTTGTGTGAGATTGGTGTGCGTTTGGTGTGAGTATGCGTCTGATATGAGTATGCCTTTTTTAGGATACGACCTTGAGTTAGTAAGTGTCTTAGCAAAATTACATTGTTTCGTTAAGGGGCGTTGCTCCAATTGTCGGATAAAGACACCCAATTGAGACATTCAATTTCTTCATGATTGATACTAAGATTCAAAGCGTATTGCGCAGATGTGTCTTACGAGACAGGACAATCCTTTTTTTTTTGTATGCCCTATTTACAGGCTTGATTCAGACTCATGAGTCTCGTGTGAAAACAGGAGGTCATAAAATATTCTCACAATGTGGACTTGTGCTCACCTCCCTTGCATATGTCATGTTTGTATTTATTTGTGGTTGTAAGTAAGTTGTTTGATTGGTGAACAAATGGTTACTGACTTTGATTGCATTAGTGTGTGAGAGTCAGGGAAAAATTGTTCGGCAAAAATGCATGGAAAAAGGTTGAATAGGAAAGGCAACATAAATGTTTGATGGGAAGGGGGCCCGCTTGAGGAACCACCCGTATGTCTCAGGGGGGAGGTCTGTTTGAGGAGCCACCTATTTATGTATGTCAGATGAAAGTAAAAATTTATGATTATAACTTGTTCCGTGAAGATGAATAAAGCTTTGATTTTTGCAGAAAATTGTCATTGGGTAACCAAGCTTGAGAAAAGATGTTCATATAAAATGAGGGGTTTCTTCGAAAGAAAAACTTGTTTGTGGGGCTCTGGGGCCGACGGTCGTATCTACCATGATCAAGCAGAACGACTGCAAGCATTGAAAGTTGGCTCAAGAGTATTTTGGGAGGCTTAAGCGGGGGGCTAAATCGACATCGTTGGGGCAACCCCCAACGTCGGTTGTTGTCCCGCCTAACCAGGACAGCGGACCCCTAACTTAGCCTGAACTTAAAGACGGAGGAGTGACCTGCACCATCATTCGTAGCAGATAATATATATATGTGGATTATCATGGTAACTATTATTATTTACTACTTATTATTATTATTATCATTATTATTTATTATTATCCTTATTATTATCGTTACTATCATCATATGGAAAAACTAAAATAAGCCAAGTATCGGGTCACTCCAAAAACTCTAACTAGGGCGATTGCTAGGGGGTAATTAGGTCCAAAAGTCGTAGAGTCGCCTTAGCATTGTGCGAACAATGTAGGCAACATCGTGGTTTCATGGCACGATGAACCGTGGTTTGGCCCGATCAACCAAATTATGGTGGGCTGAGGGCAGGATTTTAACCCACCTATGACTAGACGCAAGATCGGGCTGAGTTTTGATGTAATTGCATGGAGTGAGCTACGTGCAGCACTATGCCTGCCACAAGTTGAACTGCTAAAGAGGGTGTGTTTTTATATGATAAGTTACTCAGAGGAGTATGCTACTCATTTCAATTGCAGAGTGAGCTACCTAGAGGGGTATGCTTTGAATTTGCTTAAGCTACTAAAGGGAGGTGAGCTACCTGCGCTTGTTATGTGTTGCAGTTTGTCCCACTCAGGGTAGTTCTCCTGCCTGGAAACCCGCGCCTCAAGATGACGGTTACTTGACAAGCCCAATTCATACGGCACCCAACGAAAATCGAAAGACATCTAGGACAAACGGAAGGGGCTGGTATTTGAACATTGAAGCTAACCTGGGGCAGGAGTATAAAGAAAGTACCCCTGTGAGTCAGACAGGAGGTGCAGGTTGGACTCCTGCTCGCCATAGGAACGACGCAGAACTAGAATACCAAACCCCAAGCTTAGTCCTTCCGATTATACGGATTCGGTTATCCATTTGCTCAGTCTATGCATTTGCTTGTGTTTTCGCTTATACTTTCTAGCCCTTACCCAAAGCGACGGGGACGTCGCTTAATGGGGTCTGGGAGGACTGTCGTAGCAAACACCCTTACAAGGGTATTTGCCGTCGTTTTTAAAGGTAACACTAGGTGCGTCCTTGATAAACGTAACGCATTGATGGGGCAAATCCCGTCAGGGCGCTCACCTCGGCAACCTCGCTCCTGACGAGAGTGCGATCTAAATGCAAATGAATTAGAGAGTGTGTGGGGCACACTGTCGGACCAAATACCCTTACAAGTGTATTTGGCCATGCTTTTGCGTTTGACACAAGGACGACGTTGGCTACCATGACGGAGTCAGTCTGGGATGAAAAGGGTGTGCACGCTTTAGCGTGACACTCGAAACGATTTCCTCGGCCATTGAGGCCAGGGCAAATCAGTGAGAAAATTTCGAGAGTGTGAGCACGCGTTATTATGACGCTCACTATAATGGTTAGGATCAATAGTAATACCTTCCGACCGAAAAGGTCGAGGGGTTGATTGGGTCAGTGTCGAGTCGGGTAGATCTACGACACACATTGAGACTTGCGCTGATACTTGTCTACCTACCGGTACAGAGCGTCCAAAAATACTAAATTTTGTCGTCTTCTGCTCGACCTCGAGTACTCGACGCATCTATCTCTATTTAGTGTAGTATCGACATACCCGCTACTTGAGTATTTCTCGTTGCTCTTAAGTGTCGCGGACCTTTTTGCCCGCCACTTGAGTGTTTTCCCCGCAGTGACCCTCAAATGTCGCGGCCTCGGCTAAGTACCGGCCCTTCGGGCCTTTCGATCAGCTAAGTACCTACGAGGGTCACGCACACATTCAAACCAACAAGCACTCAGACAGGCACACAGACAGCCAGCGTGCGCACACGCAGACTCAAATACAGGCTCAAACCACTAGATGGGCGGTGCCCGAATACTGTACAAATACCTGAGTTGCTCCCCTTATCCTCGAAGTGGGAGCTAACACAATAGGTTTAGGTACTAATTACTATGCAGAGGGTGCAGGGATCGAAGCCTACCGACCCTTGAGCTAGCTCCCTTTTGATAGGGAACTCAATTGTATTTTGCCCCGGCTTCAATAGGCCGGGACTCGTGACCTCAGGATCATAGGTTAGTTAGAGTTAGTAGTTGTAGTTAGCCTCGTTTGAAATCGAGGGCACGACAGATGGCACGACAGGGTAGTTAGAAAATTAGGTTTCCGTTTTATCATATTCAAAAAGTTTTCTTATTTATTTTCTTTCCTTTACGATTTTCTAGATTTTTTTTGTTGTTTGTTTCGGTTTTCCCTTTTCCGTTCTCGTATGAAAACTGATCGAATTTTTCACTATAACCGGGGTAGATTCATTCCCCGGGACTTCTCGATATTCGATCTTCGACAGTATATCGGGGAGAGGGACGGAGGGTTCGTCTCGATGGCAACGACTGCACGGACCATCGTGAACGACCACTGGGAAGTTCGCATGGTGCACGGGAGGAGAACTCCGTCGAAAAAAAGAAGGGAGAACATCGCACGAAGAGAGGGAGAGTTGCGCGGGGAGGTAGTGGAAGCAGGCGCAGAAAAGGAAAATGCAGCGAGGTAGAAAGGCAACCGCGCGGAGGTAGCACAACTTGGGAGAGAAAGCGCGCGGACGGAAAAGCACACCAAGGGGGAGATTTGAAGGAGGAACGTGAGAGTGAAGGAGGGGTTGCGCGGGAAGAAGAAGAAGGGGAAGGGGAAGGAGAGAAGGAGAGAAGAAGAGGGGAGGAGGTGTAGTAGTAGTAATAGAAGAAGAAGAAGAAGAAGAAGAGGAGGGAATGAGAGACAGAGAGGAGAAGATACATACCCCCTGTAATCGGTAATGGAGATGTACCGGGCGAGGGTGCTTGGGACCTCGTGCTTGAGTTACGAGGGGCTCTGTACATAAACTTTGAGTGGTTCCCCATGTCGAGGGGGGAGGTATAGCGACGACAACGACCATGACTACGACTACGACGATGACGACAAGGAAGAGAGAGAGATAGAATAGGTAAGTCTTCAATTGCGTGGCCCACTTCACACTACTCTCATTGACAGGACGAACTAAATCGAATGAACTTATCGCTTAGACATTGAAATATACATTACGATACCTACGTGTGTGTGAGTGTGTACAGCACGGATGACCGAGCTAAATCGAATGAATCTACCGCTAAGACATGGAAATATACACTACCATTATCGTTTGTTTGTTTGTACTCGAGTATGTGTGTACATGTGTATGTGTGTGTGTGTGTGTATGACCAATCG